TATCTTCATTTATTTATCCAGATCTATACTGATGACATTTAAATTATTTTCATTCTGTTCTAATTGTTATACAAAGCCAGAATATATCCTTCTTATAATTTTTTTCAGTAATTTTTGTTTTAAGTCCTTTGGAATCAACCTAACCTACCACTTACTAGCTCTTTAAACCCTTGAAAATCATGATCATATGGGGGTAAATGGAAGAACAAATAAGAGTTTTGAGTTACAATACTGGGATATCAGAAATCAATAGGGGAAATGATTTCCTCAAATAAAAATAATCTAAATATCTGACAGACCATTAAAATTGGTGCCTACATTATAGCTTATGAGGCTGATGGGCTATTATACAATGATCAGAAACATGAAGACTGCAGCATCATGACAAATGCTATAATGCTAAGTGAGAGAAGACGTAGTTACATGGAACTAAGATTAACTATGAAATATGCCTGCATATGAAAAGAAGAGATATTCAAATGAAATGTAGCTCAGTTAGGGTGATAAGAGCATGGTTCTTTCACCACTTCCTTTCAAAATATCCTTTAATATTTTATAATTTAGTTTCTGTGGTGAATGAAAAAAGAAAAATTGAGAGCTATAACAAAGATCAGAATCATCATTCTCAGTTTCAGGGCCCTCAATGCCCTCTTTACTTTCTTCCCTGATTATTTTGGAGATATCAACTGTCTTAGTAATAATCAGGCCTTGAAATTTCTTGATGGCAAAGCTACAATCAGCAAACAAAGCATGAAGTATCACTGTCCACAAGAGACAGAATGGAATGGAATGGAAGGTGTCAGAGATTAGACAAGGAAAAGAATGGACAATCAGGAAGAGTTCCAACTTAAACCATGTTCACAATCATCCAGTGCTACCATTCCATCTTCCCATAGATAGGGAACTGATATGAATTTCCACATCATACGGTCAGGGCAATATGGGGGTCAAAAACCTAAGGTAATAATTAAGATCTGCATACTTAAGGAAGAAATGGTCATACTCTCAAGCCAACACAAAAGTTCCTATTTCGGGAATTTAAAGTCTCACACCCTGGTCAGAATTCTTTAAATTCATAAGCACTCATTCCTCTCAAAAAACTTCATCCTTTTTTTTAAAAGATTTATTTATTTGAGAGACAGAGTGAATGAGCGCTGATAGGGTGGGGTGAGAAGCAGAGGGAGAAGGAGAGAGAAACCCAAGCAGTCTCTGTGCTGAGCACAGAGTCAAACACGGGGCTTGATCCCAGGACCTCAAGGATCACGACCTAAGCTGAAACCAAGAGTGGGACACTTAACAGACTGCGCCACCCAGGTACCCTGCATCCATTTTACAAGCACTTATTAATTCCTTGAATAAATCTAAGTCACACAGGGCTTTTTCAAGTATTCTTTGTCATGATACCCAAATATTTTATAAATCACTGGCCTGTGATGAATAATGACAGACAAAAGCTAGTGAGTAAAAACGATTACATTATTTTGATCACTGTCTGCAACATGAAACATTGTTTATTTACAATGCCACATCATCTTGGTTCTGAAAAGAGTGGCATATAAGCTCTGGCTGTTTAAATATTAACTACTGATGAGTCACATTTGCAGCTGGAACTCACTCTAGAAAAATAGGAAGAGAAATGTTCGCTTGTAAGGACTGGATGTTCATGCTCACATTTATAATAAGACATGGTGAAAACTTGTCTACTTTCTTGTCAAATGATTTACTTTCAAAATAAATTTCCTTTTTCGGCCATCCCCAGGAAATATTTTTATTAATAACTTGGCAAAAATCTAAAAAGGCATGCTTATCAAATCTTCCTAACTTTTTTTCTTTCACCAAAATACTTCCTAGCTGCCTATCATGTGAATGAACTATGTTGGGCCTTGAGATAAACTTGAGACACAAGGAAGCAGAAGATACAAGCCTTGTTCTCCAGAACTTATGGTCTCATTGCAGGGCCGGAGGGTGGAATATGTAATCACAGTTAAAGAACATTCAATACAGGATCACCAGGAACAGAATCAGGATTGAAAAAATCCCAGTATGGCCTTTAAGATGTTTAGGTGCTCAAAATCAATTACATAACCACAAAATGCAGAAAGTCTGGGATGATGACAACTTACACGAAAAAGATGTAAAGGTTTCAGCAGAGTAAAACACCGTAAAAGCATAAAAGTCAACCAGTGAAATGGTTGTTAAGATAGCTAATCTAAATTAAGAGCAATATTGTGTCCAGAACAAGGAAGATAATAATGCCATTATCTCCATACTCAAGAGTTAGTGGTGCTGTTTTATGAGGCTCATTCATAACAAAACTAGGAGAGGGAGGGAGGGAGAGAGGGAAGGAAAGAAAGTGAGTGAGAGTATATATTCCTGCTAGACAGAGGTGATAGCGAAGCATCTATAAAACATGTATACAGAAAGACTGAAGGAACTAAAGACATTTGGCTTGAAAGAGGACTTGGGATGAGTGGTGAAGGGGGCAGCATATACCAGCTATGATGCCTCTGAGCTGGTACAAGAGAGCTGAACTGTGCTGCATGGAAATAAAGGCAAATTTTGGCCTCATATAAAGCACTTCTAATGGCCAGGGCTTTCCAATACTGAACTATCTAGAAGAGGGGTAAACTCTACAGTTAGTAGTAATCAAGCAGAGATGGATGATTATTTGTTAAAAGTACCCTAGGAGAATTTCTTACACTTGGTAGAAATTGTAACAGATTCTGAAGCTCCTCCTATCTTAGAAAAGCTTCTGGCTACCTTGTTAGCTGCAGGCAAGAATATTAAAAAGATGATATCCACCACAGCTACTTTTAAGAGCAGTTAATCTCAAAAAGCAGAAAAGGAGTCAGGAATCAGGACTGAACTTTATATAAGACCTAGAAGGCTTTGTGACTTTGAGATGATTGCCAGAAGTATTGGGAGGGAGACCAATGATGGCCAATAACTGGCCTGACCACTCAAACAGCACTCTTGCTATCCCCACTAATCTCAGAGGTTGCTTGCTGCCTTAAGTGAAAGGCAATTTTTTTTAAAGATTTTATTTATTTTTTTATTTGTTTGTCAGAGAGAGAGAGAGAGAGATCTAGAGAGAGCACACACAAGCAGGCAGAGGTGGAGAGAGAAGCAGGTTCCCTGCTGAGCAAAGAGCCCGATGTGGGACTCGATCCCAGAACCCTGGGATCATGACCTGAGCCGTAGACAGTGGCTTAAACGACTGAGCCACTCAGACGTCCCGAAAGGCAATTTTTTTGAAGTCCCCTTTCCTCCAATTCTCTCCCTATTTAATCATTTCCAGTGCATGAAAAATGTCAAAACTTAAGAATCTGCAATATTCTCCTGTATTCAGGAAGAGCACAGATGCTATTCCTACATAACAGGTTCATGAAATTTTTCACTACATATTGAAAAGGGAAGACTGGCCTGTCGGATGGGTCTACTGGGAAGGGCTTACGGAGGAAATCCTGCAGACTGGCCTGGTCCCCTTCCACAGGCCCCCTCAAACTTCTAAGGTGGGCTGGATCTAGCATGTTTTTACTTGAGCCTTAGATTTGTGAAACATGTATAAACATATTTAATTAAAAATGAGCTATGATAATTGTCACCCTGAAATTTATAAAAACAGGAACAACATAACAGTCAACTTTAAAAGTTTAGTTCTGGCAAGACAAGAATCAAGTTACACAAATGCTCTGTGAACTCAGGTTCAATCTTAAATCCTATCTTAAATCCTATGCCTGGAACATTCCATATTTAAGGATATAATCAATAAACAAACATACGCTGAGAGGCTATTGTGATCAAGAACCCATTCAGGTTCAAAGAAAGACAGATGCCTATCTTGGCCCTACTAGGTCATGACTATCGCTGATTACTGCCACAGCCAGGATATAAGACCAGTTGAATAACACTGTATGGTTCTTAAATAATTCTACATAATCTAGGAAGTGAAATTCAAATTCCTACAGCAGTATTTCCAATAGTTGTACTTGAAATAAAAACATGTTTCAATCACATAAAACTGTCAGACTGAAGAAAGCATACAGTAAATGAATGTTGACAATGTCAAACAATGAAACTAGTGCTGAACAATTTTGTCTTTTGCAAGAGGTATTCTATAGATACAACCTCTTTAGGGTTGGTAACATTTGCATAGTCAAGATATTTTTCTGGAAGCCAGTAAGATATTTCAGAAATTAGAGCTTTTAGGTAAAAAACAGGTATATTTTAAAAAATTATAAATCTAATTAAAAAATCTTCAAAGGTCACAGATTAATACAATAGCGTAAGATAGGTCTTCCAAATTAAGAGAACAATGGATAAAATGACAGTGTTATGGTATTTTGAACATGTATTTTAGTATTTAGTAGTTATCTTTAAAACAGATATATAGTCTCAGTATGACAAAATACTGCTTGCAAGTTACCAAATCCTCTTCCTTTCTTTTAGTATCAAGAAATGAAAAGAGGGGGCGCCTGGGTGGCTCAGTGGGTTAAAGCCTCTGCCTTCGGCTCAGGTCATGATCCCAGGGTCCTGGGATCGAGCCCCACATCGGGCTCTCTGCTCCGCGGGGAGCCTGCTTCCTCCTCTCTCTCTGCCTGTCTCTCTACCTACTTGTGATCTCTGTCAAATGAATAAATAAAAAAAAAAATCTTAAAAAAAAAAAAAAAAGAAATGAAAAGAGAAGGAAACTACCAAAAATCAATACCTCATGTGTAATCAATCAAAATCAATACACAATGTGTATTTCAGGTGGGTGAAAGCATCCAAAGGCTGATTTGTGGGCATGCTCATGGCACAGATCCCCAATCACCTGTCCCTTCAAGGAGCCAGAGAATAAGTAGCTTTAGTTAACTATGTTTATTTATCTACTCAGCAAACAGGGGAGATATACGGTCTGGTAAAAAAAAGGTCAACTGGACAAGAAAATCTGCAAACTTCTGGGCTTTCAGCTAAGCTATATGCTAACTAAGCACATGGAGAAAACAGACTTGACTTACCTGCACTGCCGAGCTGTTTATAAAACCTGTACTCTAAATGAAGCTGTGGAGCACGTGATTTTATTGGTTCCTGAAACCCAAGAAGAGAAATTGTGATCAGATGTAGACAAATAAAATTTTTCCATTCCTAGGTTTTCAAAGTAAACCAGGGCTAAAACCACTTAATATTTTAGAGATGATATCCATATATGATAGCATTTTCTTACCACAATTTCTCTTTGAATGCACAGCTAGAGGAAGATGAAGCTGAAGTATATATAATCCCTTCACAGATATTTAAGTACAAATACTCTGTGTGAGACATAATTCAAGGATAGCTCCCTCACCATGAAATATTCTCCTGAAATGTATTCTCATAGGAAACCAGATGCCAAACCTTTTAATTAAAGACCAGCATGTATTCCCTGCCTGTTTTATTATGAATTTTGGGTGATAAACAGTATTATTTTTTAGAAAAATGATACATGCTCAGAAAAAAATTTCAAATATACAAAAATTAGGAAGAGACTAAAAGTAATCTGGGATCCTATCATTTTAAAGAAAAGCACTATTAACATTTTGGTGAATGTCCTTCTAAATATTTACACATATATTTAGATATAATACAGACTTGAAAATATATTTAAAATGAATGAGATACTATATTTTTCTTCTGTGTCTTTAAATGCAACAACATAATGATGACATCTTCCTATGGCAGTAAATAGCTTCATATATATATATATACGTTTTTTTAAATAGGCTCCATGCCCCAGGTAGGGCCTGAACTCATGACCTTGAGATCAAGAGTCATATGCCCTACCAACTGAGTAAAGCTTTATATAAATTTTAATGGCTGTAGTATTTCCCTGTATGTGTGTATTGTGTGTGTACACATATATGAAAACTTTTGGATGTTTTGACTGTTTTCAGTTTTCATTATTATGAATAATCCTGGAGGAACATTATATGCACATGTATTTTTACACTCAAGAAAATTAAAGATTGTAAATGTAATTAAAATATGTATCTTAACAAAAGTAAAATAAAATATGTACCCTTAATCAATATGATGTTCAAGTTTGCAAAAATAGTGTTTTTAAGACCCTGGGGATAAAACAGCCAAACTACCATTTTGCTCTACATTGAACTTTAAGAACTAGCTGGTTAACAGTTCTGAACTGACAGTACACTGGGCAACTAGTTAACAAGAAAATCAAACATTACCCTGGAAAGTAGATCTACATACCCATTAGGATAGCTATTATCAAAACCATAGAAAATAAGTGTTCATGAGGATGTAGAGAAATTGGACCCCCTGTGCATTGCTGGTGGGGATGTGAAATGGTACAGCTATTATGGAAAACAATATGGAAGTTCCTCCAAAAATTAAACAAAGAATTACCATATGATCCAGCAATTCTACTTTTGCATACATACCTGAAAAAACTGAAAGCAGGGACTCAAACTGATATTTATATGCCCATGTTCATAGCAACATTATTTACAATAATCAAAAGGTGGAAGTGACCCAAGTATCTAGTAACACCCGAAGAAACAAAACGTGATTACATTTTGTTACACACAAGCACACGTACGTGCCACACGTACGTGCACACACACAATATTATTCAACCACGAAAATGAAAGATATCTGAATACATACTACAACATGGATGAGCCCTGAAGACATTATGCTAAGCAAACTAAGCCAGACACAAAAGGTCAAATACTACATGATTCACTAATATGAGGTACCTAGTGTAGTCAAATTTATAGAGGCAGAAAGTTAAATGGTGGTTGCCAGGGGCTATGAGGGAGGAGATGGACAGTCAGTATTTAATACAGAATTTCAGCTGAGGAAGATGAAAAAGTTCTAGGGAAGGATGGTGGCAATGGATGCACACCAGTGTGAATGTACTTAATGCCACAGAGCAACACACTTAAAAATGGGTTAAAATGGAAAATTCTAGATACAATTCTAACAGATACATGATTTTTAAATTTTCTCTCCCATTCCATGGGTTGCCTTCTCACTGTATTCAGAGTCCTTTAATACAAAAAAGTTAATTTTTACAAAGTCCAATCAATCTCCTTCCTTGCTTGTGCTTTTTATGTCATCTAAAAAATCACCGCCAAATCCAATGTCATGAAGCTTTTGCCCTAAATTTTCTTCTAAGAGATTTATAGTTTTGGCTCTTATATTTAGATCTTTGATCCATTTTGAGTTACTTTTTTATGTCTGATGTAAGGTAAGGGTTCAGCTTCAATGCATGTGGATATCGGGTTTTCCTAACAACCTTTGTGCAAAAAACTGTCCTTTCTCTAGTGAATGGTTACTTGTCCTTTTTTAAAGACCGGCTCAAAAGAAGGAGATCCCATAGTTTCCCTTGATAATTCATCCTGATGTTAAATACATTTCATGATTTCAAAGGTCTTTATATGTAGTTTAAATCTCCACAACTGAAACTTCTTTTCTGTCCCCGACAAAAATGAAATAGCTCCTCAATAACCAGTGAATACCATAACAACTATCTTCAAATAACAAAACTATTCAATCATTTCTTAGACTTTCTTTACTCAGGCAAAGTAATTTCAATTCCTTTAACCTTTCCTCACTGGTCCTATTTTTCAGTTCTTTGATCATCTTTGAAGGCTCTTCCTGAACCCACTTGTTTTCTACATTTTTCTTAAGATATAGAATCCATAAATCATAGAATTCAGAAATTTCCTTGAAGTTATCTACTCTATCCCTTTGCTTCTGGGAAGGCTGAAATAGTTCATATCCCTAATGAGCTCCATGAAAGAACTCATATCCTTCTTTGATTATAAAATCAGCAATCATCAGAGTTGAACTTCAAGTTTCTCAAGATTCTTGTAGTCAAAAGAAAAAGTACATAAGATTAATTACACTGTAAAGTCACTTCTTTATTCAGTTATGTCTTCAAACAGAGAAGGATCACTGTTGAGAGTCTCCATTTGGCTTTAGATCTTCTACTGTAGCACCAGTAAAGCAGCCAGTGATGGAATTTGTCCTTCAGAAAAATCCCTAATAATTCACAAGAATCCAAACAGAAACAGGACAACAAATTAATATGGAACCAGAGATTGATCTTTCTGGAGGTTTTTTTCTGGAGAAAGTCTTTGGGATTCTGACAAACCACAAGGAGCAATGAATGAAAAAGCCTTCTTCAAACACAAAACTCTAAAACTTCACCGTGGACACCTTGATTGGAAATACTCAATCTGATGAGGGGTAACTAAGCTAACAGATTAGAGTTCTTTAGAGTTACAAGGCTGAAAGTGGACATAGATGTCACATATATTCAGACATGAGGAGCTCTTTATCACAGATGAAAGGACTTATACCCTTTGGCCAACCCCTTAAGCATACAGCTGAAGCCTGCTCAGACAATTAGAGCTTCAAGGTGCTCTTCTGGAAGCACTATAAAGAAAGTACATTATAAACACTCAGTCTACGTCTTATGGAAGGTGGCAAGATTAGGAGCATGGAGAGAAATTTTTTTCTTTTTTAACAACTGTTAGAAAACTTCTGTTAAAAAGAACCTGAGAAATCTCGGTGATGGGGTAAAGGAAGGGCTCATTATACTATTTTATGTTGTATATGATTTTTTAAAAAGGTTCCTAGAAATCTAAGAAACAAAAGCCCACAGTGAAGATCCAAACAAAGTAGAAAGAAAACAGTACCAGCAGGGCTTCCTTATATTTCTGTGCCAGATGCTGATTACATTTCCACAGAGGGCTGGCTATTTGCCAGAATCACGGTTATTCTGGAACACACATGTCTGCCTGAAATCCTAAACCAACAGCAGACGGCTACCTTGTAGGACTATAATGCTTAAGGCACATTTTGCTGTTCCAATGAAAAGAGCTCAATTACTGCCCTCATATCTCCCATGGAGAACACAGCCCAACAGCAAGAGAGGAGGCCCATAGGCAAGATTGTTATCCTATAAAAAGCCTTTATTTAAGATTTATTTGAAAGAGAATGAGCTCCTGAGACACATCATACTAGATGATATGAAGTCTATTTTTAGCTTTCACTCTTGACCATACAAAGTAGAATAAAGTTCAATAAACTACAAGTGAAATGCAGTAATCCATCATGTGAACAATATGTAATAAGTTTATCTAATGAGGTTAACTAATATGAACTTGGAAGAAGAAATCTAGATAGAAAAGACTGTCCCTCACAAAAAGCCTCTAGAGGAGTCTTGATAAATAAAGGGAAAATAAGAAAGATATATAGCATTGAGACAGTATTTTAAAGTGTTTCAGGAGCTGCTTCCTCCTGTTACTAGTCCAACTTACTGAAGCAGTAAAACAGAAAAATTAAAAACAAAAACAAAAACAAAAAAAACAGATGAACTAGGGAACACTTCTACAAAACCAAATTCCTACAAATAAAAAATATGGTTACTCCTTTGATATTCAATCTGAGAAAATATTTGGCCTGCACTGTTACATGTATTACCTGTCTTCCTGCTCCCCTTTCTCCAACAAGAGTTCCAAGTCAACAAACATAAGAAAACACGTGGTTCCCTAGCAGCTACCTGCTCTAAGCCCTGCTTCCTGTCCATGTCTTTGTAGAGAAACCGATCTGGTAACTGTCTGATAATTGTCTTCAAAAGACAACTCTGACTTTTCGATAAACTGACAAGCTCAATCGACACACTGAGCAGGTGTGGATGTGGTTAAGTGCAATTTGTTAGAAAAGAACAGCATTATCACAATTATCACACCATACTTCCTTCAATCATTAACTCCTCTGTCTTCCAACTAATAAAGCCCCAAACTGCCTGTAAATCCTGGGAAACTTCGTAGGAAGACAAACATTTACACAGTAACATAGAAACTAGTCATCTGACATCTCATATGACTAGAAATGATTTTGTATTGACCTTAAATATAAGATAAAGAATTTTCTTCTAAAATTACCCTTCCTCAAAAATAACATATTTTTTAAAACAGGATGTTATCTTTAATGACCACTTTAATTATTTATAAGATTAGTATTGACAAAACCAAGTCAACTTTTTGTTTCAAATGTGAATACAAGATTTTCACATTTGACAGTTTTTAAGGCCATGATTTGATTATCAGATTTGGTTCTCTAACACTAAGTATATTAATAAATACCTTACATTTTAAAAATGAATTAGTCACAGTCATGCAAAAGGAAATGAAAATTTCCAGTGGTTTTATCTTTTAAAATAGCACTGTGAAAGTTACAAAATTCACAGAAATTACAAATCTTCCAGTGTCTTTCTTCCAGCTATTTTTTAATAACTATTTTTTGATTCATTGCTGCTGAAACTAGAGTTAGCAACATCTAACTACACAGCACTACACAGTATATAGTGATTCATCACTGTAACACTATATATGGTTGAAGGAAAGTGACTATGTGGGAACATATGCAAAAGAGAAAAAATTAATATTTTTGTGAATACTTACAACTATTCCCTGTAAAAAAATATGTGAGGGTGAGAGCACCAAAACATAATTACCGCAAATATAAATTTTACTCACCAGTTTGATAGCTACATATTCATTGGTGTAGAGATTTTTACCTAGGGGAAAACAGAATGTATATGTTTTAGTGACATTTATTTTGGGAAATGCAAAGCAAAATCTTAGCGTACAGGGTCATGAGAAAGGTCATATTCCCAATGCTACTCACATATATGAAACATGATTTATAAGTGAAAAGCTAAACAGAGATAATGAGACCCAGTAAGACAAGAATAGAAACCACTTGAGGATTTGGAAATTTAAGTTAGGCATGAGAACTTAAAAAAAAGAAAACAAATTTCTTTTCTCTCTCATACACACATTTTGTTATTTATTATTTCCCAACTATTAAACTATGAAGCAAACCAAGAAACGCCAGAATATCAAAAACACACATTTTAACTTTTGGCACAATAAACACAAACCTCTCAATTTTTTAAACTCACTAACAAATGGGGATTATATATTATTTGTCACGGTATTCAGTGTCACCTTGGCAAAAAGGACAGTGTGAAATAAAACCAATCACTGCCCATCCTCCTTTTGGAAGACTCATCTCAGTAGATGATTCTCAAAGCTGCTGTGATTCTTCACCAGAATTCTAGCTCTTTATGAGCAGAAAACAGCTCTCCACCTGGACAACACTTAGACGTCTCAAAGTTCTTCTTGCAATATTAACGACTTTTCCTCCTGACTTCTCCACCTGTATAAATGGAACCAATATTCTCCTAGACATCTAAAGTGCCTGGAAGGAGGATGAGGATGAAAGCAGCAATTAACCACTTGGTAAGCCTGTGCTCCACACTGGGTACTTAACCACCCTCACCAACCCATCTCTACTGATTCTTGAAGGCTAATTTTAATTTCTCCTGAGTGTTTAGTTATGGCATTGGACTTCACATTTCTTCTTATAGATCTGTCCTATCTTAATCAGCTAGATTATAAATATCTTGGTAAGAATTTTATCTGATGATTCTCTCAATGTCCTATGGTGCTTAAGACCATGTTCTGCACATCTCAAAGACACCCAAAACCTTGACTAATGAAAAGTTACTGGCACATATAGTGTAACTACTATTTAAATAATACATGGAAGTAAATGTTATATTTATACATATACACACACATATATGTACACAGTTGAATATATATGCACGGATAAGGATATAGAAAGATGTACATTAAGGTATTAAAATGACTGTTTCTTACTATTTTGATTTTTTTGTTTTTATAATGAACAAAAAGCTGCTTGCAATATAAGTTCCTATTTTAACCAGGATTTAGACAACAGATGGCCCTTTGCAAATCATATCATTATATTTTTAATACTGCTATCAGGTTGCCAAGCACCTTTATGTGTCAAAGAGCACATTAATTTAGGAATAACTTTTGTCTGCAAATAACATAATAAAGAGGACTCAGAGATTGCCAGAGAAATACCTAAGAAACAATTTTAAGATGAACTTCTTTTTTTAGAAGCAAAAGTAGAAAACAGGTATTTTTTCTCTATATATTAATTGCATTAAGCTTCTAAAAGTTAATTTGTGTTTCTGATTAATCCTCTTACCAAAAACATTTTTAAAAATGTATTCGATGCAACTGTGAAAAGGATACTAATAACTGGGAGCAGATAGTTGAAGTAGAAACAGCCAATAGAGGCAGATTAAAACCCCAACTTGGGCAGGCATCTCATATCTGTATGGATTCTCTACATGTACAAAATTAAATTTTATTTTCTCCAAAAGCAGGGGTGGCACCTGGGTGGCTCAGTGGGTTAAGCCTCTGCCTTAGGCTCAGGTCATGATCCCAGGGTCCTGGGACTGAGCCCGCGTTGGGCTCTCTGCTCAGCAGGGAGTCTGCTTCTCCCTCTCCCTCTGCTCTTCCCCCTGCTCATGCTTGCACTTGGTCTCTTTCTCTCAAAACATATAATAACCTTTAAAAAACAAAAACAAAAAAAACTCCAACTTGGCCACAGACTTCTCCCACACCAGATACAATACTGCATAAAGATTTTTCAGGATAGCTCTTCCTGGCACAGTATAAGCACTGCTATTATGACCCAAAATCAACTTTGGCACAAGGCTGACCCTAAAAATTTAGTATCACTTAGAGGAAAATGGTCAAGTTTAAACTTGTAAACATGGGGGTGCCTGGGTGGCTCAGTGGGTTAAAGTTCTGCCTTTAGCTCACGTCATGATCCCAGGGTCATGGGATCGAGTCCTGCATCGGGCTCTCTGCTCAGCGGGGAGCCTGTTTCCTCCTCTCTCTCTGCCTACTTGTGATCTTTGTCTGTCAAATAAATGAATAAAATCTTTAAAAAAAATTGTAAACATGTTTAGGAGTCTTTATGAATTGGACACCACCCTTTCCACGCCCTGCCCAGCCAGTTTTTTTAACAGTAAGAATTCCTATGGGGAGTAGAGGCACCAAAATTCACACCTTACACATTTAAAGTACAACATGCCCGTACTGTCAAAGAATTAACTTAACCTTTGAAGTACATGCTTAACCTAACAGATCTTCAATTCCACAGATACAACACTTAAGTGAAGTAAGGTGATGGTGTACATGTAAGAGTAATAAACCTAGATTCTGATCTGTGAGCAAGAAAAGAGAGAAGGCAGTTTAGGATTTCTTGGGGAAGATATTCTTTTCTTTCTTGTCCCCATCTACTTCCCCCATCCACACCCCCTGGCTAAAGTCTTAAAAAATGAGTTGGATTTTAATAGATGAAAAAGGGGAAAAGGCATCCCAAGGCAAAGAAACTGTATGAAAAAACAAAAAAGCGATGAAGTAGATGTAGTCTAACAATGAAAGGTGGTCTGGGAGTCGATGAACTATAAGTTGCATCATGAGCATCAGGACAGAGCAGGAATAGGGAAAGAGTGGTTAGGGTAACAAAGGAAACTAGAAAAGTAAGGCTCAGGCCACACAGGAAAAATCCTCAATGCCATCTTAAAGTTTAAAACCAAAAATTTTTGTAGGGTAGTGACATGATCAGATCTGTGATTATGAATAACCATTTGTGAGGAAGCATAAACGATGAACTAGAAAATAAGAGACCACAGGTGCATGGGCAATGCCGCTGGTTAAGCCTCCAACTCTTGGTTTCAGCTCAGGTGGTAGTATCAGTGTTGTGAGATCAAGCCCTGCATCGGGCTCCATGCTCAGTGAGGAGTCTGCTTAAGATTCTCTCTCCTGCTCCTTCTGCCCCTCCCCCTCAGTGCTTGCTCGCTCGATCTAAAATAAATAAATCTTTTTTTTTGAAGATTTTATTTATTTATTTGACAAAGAGAGAGAGCAAGAGAGGGAACCCAAGCAGGGGGAGTGGAAGAGGGAGAAGCAGGCTCCCCTCGGAGCAAGGAGCCCGATGCAAGACTCGATCCCAGACCCTGGGATCATGACCTGAACCAAAGGCAGACACTTAATGACTGAGCAACCCAGGCACCCAAATAAACAAATCTTTTTTAAAAAGAAGGAAAGATAAATAGAATCTTAAAAAAAAAAAAAAAGGAAAGAAAAATAAGAGACCAAAGGTAGGGGAAAGCATTTGTACATTTAATACCCAGCCTATGCAGATATCAGACATCTAACACTCAGTTCTCACCCTGCAGAGACTGTATTCTAGGTCCTCATATAGGGCCTTAACACAGGTGGCTCAATTATTAAATTAATCACATAATGTGATGAGTTATAAGAAAAATATGAACAAGTCAATATAGGAGATTGGATGAGGGAGGGTAAAGCATTCCACCACGAGAGGCATTTGAGGGAAGGCTCAAAGAGGAGACAATAAAGGGTATATAATAAAATACTAATTTGAATAGTGAGGTGGAAACATAATAGAAATTGTGCAGAATCCAATATACTCTGGGTAAGCCAATATGAATGAAGCACAAGTATATGGACAGAAATGGTGAGAAGTAAAGCCAGAAAGATCCAACAGGGACAGGTGAATAACCCTGAATGCCAGCTTCTTACTCTAAGGTATATACAACCATGTGTATGTGGAGAGGTGTCAGGCCATAAGATATACAAATAAAACAAAATTTTCCTAGATCTTCACTTTTCTTTGAAGATTTGGGGAAAATATTTTGTATAGTTAAAAAGTTATTACAGAAATTGCACAGATTTCATTTGAAGAAAAAAAATGCAAGAGTTTAAGGAAATCCCAAGCATTTATGGATATGCTTCTTCCAGAGGCCACAGTGGTCTCACCAATCAGCAATCAGTGGGGAAACTGTTTCTCATTTTCCCTATGTTCATCTGGGTGGCCCAGCTTTCACAATGTATTTCACTTCCATCTCTTGTGAGCCACATGTTGCCAGGGAAAGAGGTGATTTAGCCATCCAACTTCTATAGACTTGCCACTAAGTTCTTTTTTTACTCTAGCATCCTTGCTTTCTGAGTTCCTAGTGTCTCCAATTCTTGAGCTTAACTGGTGTATTTTGTATTACAAACTGGCTTAACCTTTCAATCATCGGCTTTCTCTGGACTGCTAAGTCAGTTACCACTTGACTACTTGCTTTCCAGCTTCCAAAATTTTGTTAACTTTTTTTTTTTTTAAAGATTTATTTATTTATTTATTTGACAGATAGAGATCACAAGTAGGCAGAGAGGCAGGCAGAAAGAGAGGAGGAAGCAGGCTCCCCGCTGAGCAGAGAGCACGATGTGGGCTCAATACCAGGACCCTGGGATCATGACCTGAGCAGAAGGCGGAGGCTTTAACCCACTGAGCCACCCAGGCGCCCCTAGTTAACATTTCTCACTTGTTTTCCTCTTCTCTCCCACTTTTTTTTTTGGTTCTTTGCGGTTTTACGACTTAAAAGGTCAAAAGGAATGTTCAACTCAACTTCTTATCCCTAGCAACAAACACAGTATTTGATATATAATAGGTAACAGATGCTAGCTGCAATGAACCAAATTAACTTAACATACAGAGAAGGTTCTTCTGAGAAAGTTCTGGGATAAAAAAGAAAAAAGAAGTCTAGTTTACAATCAGATATGGATAATCCTAAATGCAAATACAGGAGTTTTGACTTCCTTATTCAGCTTGCTG